AGAGCATAGATTCATGGAGATCTCAAGCTGTGGATTATTTAGGCCATTTTATTCATTTGGCTGCCACTCAACCATCTCAGCTATTATACATTGCTGGGGGCCAGCAAATCCACCTGCATCTAGCATTATCTCTATCTGGATAATTCACATACCTTACCACACGTGTACATCTTTTCTTTCTTTTATTATTTCTTTTGCAAATATACATGGATGCTGTTGCAATAAATAAAACACACAAATTCATATAAGAACTTTCCTGAGTCTCTAGTTACATGTATCATAATGTATTTTTTTTAATCAACAAATATAAAAAAATACATTTAGGATAGAGTTGCATTGTATGTATATTGAACCTATGAAAATTTGGTTATATGGGTTTACAACAACAACAACAACAACAAAAACTTCTCAAAACTAAAGTCATAATCGTGTAATAGAGCTGGTGGTTTGGCTCCATGGGGGGCTGCCCAGGCTGAGCATGGGTCAGTAGATGTGACTGGTTCCCTTCATTGGGTCTCTTCTTACAAATGCCTCTCAAAATGTAGTGTATTTCTGTATTTGTAAGTAATTTAAGTAGTTTTAAATGGGAATTTTTATAGGAGCAAATTTTTGTCTTATATTTTATCTTCAGAACCCAACTCACCATGGAAGATGCTACTCTACATGCAGAGGGACTATGACATGTTTTGTCACAAAATAGGAGCCGTCAGTGGAAACACTGATCCAGCCCAGAAAACCCTGACTCCCAGTGGCTGCCCAGAGAATGGGGGGGAACCCAGGCCTGTCACCTCCAGACCATGCTTTTCCCACCCACAACTGTGCAAGTTAGGGTGACTTTCATTCGGAAGGACAGCCTTCACCCAGGCGGTGGGGGAACCTGTGAGCTCCTAAACTGTGCACACATCTGGGGGTGTTCTTCCGGCACAGGCAGTCTACCCCACATGGACACAGCTTTTACCCATGCACATTTGTTTCTCAGGGTCCTGCCTGCATATCATTTCCATTCTTTTTCTCGTGTTGCCTTGTATTGGGATTAGGACGTGAGCTGGAAGAGATTTTCAAGCCACTTTTGAACCTCAGTCTGGGTATCGGAGGCATGTGGGGAAAATCTTAGAGGCCAGGCAGCCTTCAAAAGGCACAATCTATGTAACCAAAACATTTGTGCCCCATAATATTCTGAAATTTGAAAAGTAGTTTAAAAAAAGAAGGCTCCAGCATTTGATTTCCTTTTCTCCCCTCCTTCCTTGGAAATGAGAAGGCCAGATGCATCCTCTCGCCCAGCAGCATCTCAGCCTCTGGCCTAGTTTGTGAGCTTCCCTTTCCTCTTGGGTGAGGCCATGCTTCCTTGACACTCTGGCCTGTGTTCCTTAAAGGCCAGAAGACACTCGTGGGGAGAGGGCAGGCCAGGAGCAGGGTGCTGGGGAGCAGGGTGCTGGGGAGCAGGGTGCTGGGGAGCCGTCAGGAGCAGCTGGGGGGCCTCAGCTGTGAGCGGCCCCCTGCATGGCACCGAGAGGGATGGCTCGCTCACCCCCTCACCCTCTGACCTCAGCAAGGCGTGAGGTGCTGCCTCACGTTGGCTTCCCTCCTCTCTGGTGCCTGAGGAGACCTCTTCTCTGAGGGGGAAGTTCAGCAATGAGCTTCTACAACAGCAGACTCTCCAAATCCCAAAGGAGCCTGTGGAAATGAGAATTATCCGGGCTCCCATGGCTTACTAAATCATCTTGAAAACCTGAGGCAGATTCTGTCAGAGGCAGTGGAAGTTTCCTCTGCCTTCCGTGGCTGGGTGGCCTGAGTTTCCACAGACAGAATTTAGTTAGATCCCAAGGAAATCTTGCCAACGTTGAGAGCTCATAGACACCAGAACAGGCTGTGAAGAAGGCAGCAGAATCTACTTTGGAGGTCTTTAAAAATAGGATGACTTCTCTTTACTCTGGAACAGTCTAGAATGACAGCCCATAAAAAACTGCAAACATGACAACCGCAAAGCTCTTTATTTACACCGATCCTTGATTTTAAGCTGTTTTAGATTTGTTACAAGTCCTCACGTCCTTTGCTGGCCTCTACGATATTAAAGACATATTGAAGATGCTTTGCGACACGCCCAGATACCGGAGTCCCAACGTGAGGGAAGGAAATGAATATTTGTCAGGGAATCCCAGGGACGAACTTGGTGTGGAAAATTAGATTCCATACAAATAGAGGTTCAAAACTGACCTGTGACAGACCGATAGGATTTTCCCACATTAACACACTGTCACGCAAAAATGCCAGAAACTTTTCCTTGGGGCCACAGCGCTTTATTACAAAAATAGAATAAAAACTCAGGGTGTAACTAACTTAAAGGTAAACATAAATAGAAAAACACAAAATTTATTGACTTTTATTCATTTATTCCATGTTTTTAGAATTAAATTGTCAATATTAATGGTAACCATAAGAATACCAACAAATGAGATTTTTTTATATTCTTCATGCAGCGCCGGGGTCAACACTAAAGTGAGTTCAATACAACTGTCATGGCAGCTAATGTGCTAAGTAACCTCCATTGAATTGTGCGAGGGAGTTTGCAACCTCTGCATCCTCTCCCCAGGCTCCCTCTTCACATCCTCACCTCCTTCCTGACCTAGGTCCTGAGACTTCTACAAGACTCTTGATGGGCCTTGATTTCCTATTGCTGCTTTAACAGGACACAGAGACACAGGAAAGTGGGACAAGAGAGGTGGCCTGAGAGGCCCTTCACTCCCTCTGACTCCCCCCTCAGACACACCCCCAGACCCTTGTCCTCTGCACTTGGCTGTGTTTTCTGAACCCAAGCAAGGACTTGGGATCTGATAAGTGCAATGTGCTTATAGGCAAAATGGGATGCAATGAACTTGAGACTGGTTCTGTCCCTGGGAATTGGGACTCCTAGTGATGGGTCACACTCGAAGCCCCTAAAATCAAGTATATGCTGATTCACTTCTCTAGAGTTTGTCAACATGGCAAGGATTTCACTCGCAGATGAATTCGCACATAGATATGGCCCTGTCAGTCATGACTTAGGGACACCAAGTCTTGTGAGAGCGGTTTTAAGATGTGGCAGCCCAGGCATTCTGCCTTTGATAGAATCCTCACCACCCCAAATGTAGTGAAAAGTATTTCCTCTTCTCTAGGAAGTACATGGATGCAGCGGTTGATGAGTAGACATCATATAATATTCAACATGCACTTCATGGAAACATTTATTGAATTATATTTATTCCATTTGAGAGATAATATCATTTTTTTCAGGTCTCAAACACTTTTTAGGGCATTCAAAAGCTTTTGACCTCAAACATTGTGCCTATAGTATCCAGTGGCTAAAATGCTCTGGGTATTGAACGCTAGCTTAGAGGACTGGATGTGGAAAAATATGCACACTGCTTTAGCATATCCTCTGCAAACCCAGACTTATTTATAAGCATAACCTTAAAATGCATGTTTGTGGTTACGGGGGGTGGGGGTGGGGCGCAGGTGGTGGGCTGTTGAGGGAAGAAGGATTCTCAAAAGTTTCCAGTGAGCAGAAAAGACTTGACCCATCCCGACTGTCCTCTTTGGGTGTGAATGGAAAGTATCTTATAATGTTAATTAAAAGGGAACAGATGTCCTTAGGTTTGGCCTTATTTTGGGAATAGTTTTTGTTTTATTTTTAGGGAACTCCCCTAAAATATTCTTTTAGGGATGCTTCCCATGGATGGGTTCTATGACTCTGGCCACCTGGTCAAAGGCATTATGGTTCCCTCATCACAAAGTCTTCTACCATGAAGGTCTTGGGCCCTCACTCTTGGTGTGAGACTCTTTCAACTTGCGAGGAATGGAGGGGAATGCTCAGCTGCACTTTGCTGATGGGCATTCATTGTAAGGGTACACAAGGAAAGTGAGAGGTGCTATTTCGTCTCAGCAAGTGCATTGTTATCCATTCAGCGAATGTTTGTTTAGCACCGACTGTGTGCCGACTGTCGTCCAGGCTCTGGGGACTCTAGCCATGAACAAGAGAGAGAAGGTTCCTGCTCACATGGAGCTTCCACTCAAGCGAGGGTTGACAGACAATAAACAAAGGGCCTAAATGAACAAGGTAATTTCAGATGGTGGCAACTGCCATGAAGAAAAGAATCCAGTGATGTGATAAAGAAGGATAAGGGTGAAGGATGCGAGGCTACTTTAGACTGCGTGGTCCAGGAAGACCTCTGAGAAAGCAGCATGGTAACCCGGCCTTGGAAGTGCTCAAGGGGCCAGCTGGGAGAAGACCCTGGGGCAGAATCCCCCCAGGCATAGGGGACAACTGGTACGATGTCCTTTAAGTGAGAACTTTGGCAAGTTTCAGGAACACAAGGAAGCCCTGTGGGACAGGAGCATAGGGAGCAAGGGTGAGTGCTAGATGAGGTCAGACTCAGAGAAAACCGTGATGTGTTCACTGATCAGCCCAACAGTTGCTCTGCTGCCCCAAACATCTTGTCCAGCCAGAGTGAGGAGTCCATTTCCTTCCACGCCATTGGCTCTGTCACCCTAATGACTCAGTTGATTTTTGCTTGTGCTTCTCTCTGTTTGCTTCATCATCAGTACTCTTCTGCTTTCCCATCCCTCTCTCAATTTATTTTGTACTGTGTTTCCCTGAAAATAAGACAGGGTCTTATATTTATTTTTCCTCAAGAAGACACCCTACAGCTTATTTTCAGGGGATGTGTTATTTTTTTTTAAGTACGGTATAACAATCTACATTTATTCAAATATAGTTAAGTTGTCTTCTTCTGGAACATCATCATAACTCTCCAAACCCCAAATTCCATCCTGAATTTCCTGCGACTCTATTTCCTTTAGAACCATTGGCCCCAGTCTCTCATGTTGAGCAATAGAGCTCTCATGGGGCAGATGAGAAGGGCTGCTCATCTTCTTTACCGATCCGTGAAGAAATGCATGGGTTGTGCAGATGTGCTGCAAAGCCACGCCCATCACTAGGTCTTATTTTCGGGGTAGGGCTTCTATTGTGCAAATGCTTAGAAATCCTGGTAGGGCTTATTTATGGGTAGGTCTTATTTTCAGGGAAACACAGTATTAAAAACTTCCAGTGGTGAAGATCTGGGCATGTTGGATAATCACCACCCAATAAGAAGTGGTCCTATTGGGCAGAGCTGCACATGGGCCTTCTCACTGGCTGCTGGTCTCTCCTAGGTCCCGCATCTCTGGCCTGGGTTCTGGGTTCAATCAGTTGTGTCCAGGGTCTCATGATCTAGAGCTTGGCAACTTATTTGGAGGAAACTATAATGACTACTTTCCTCAAGATCAGTTTGTGTCCTGGGCCAAAATTAAGGAGGCTGGCAGAATTTTTACAAGAAGGATGTTTAAGATCACTTCCCAGGCAATGAGCCAAATGGGGTTCTTTACAAAGGTCTTAGTTCTTAGCTACTCACTGAACCCTCCCTAGGGATCACTGAGTCTGACTCTACCACCCATATCTAAGCACCTAGAAGTCAGCCGTCCAATGTAGCCTTTTTTTTATTAGCTATCTTCTTCTTTCTGCCTTGGATGGTCATGCTTGTATCTCTCAACCGTACATGCTTTTATGTAGTGTATCCTTGCCATTTCACCTCCCCTTGAATCTGAACTGACCATGTGACTCACTTTAACATATAGAACATAGCAGTACTTTATGGAAGAGAACTGCAGCTTCTTCCTATACTTGTTGGAACATCCCTTCTTGGAACCCAGCTCCCATGCTGTGAGGAAGCCCAGTGAGCCATGTGAGAGACTCAAGTGGAAGACAACTGAGGCCTCCAGCCAACAGCCCAGCTGAGCTCCCAGCTGACAGCCGGCACCTATGCCAGTCGTGGGAGTGAAGCCACTTAGGACCTTCTAACCATCCCAATACCCCAGCCACCACCAGTGAGGCATATGAACTCTGGGCGAACCCACAGAATTGTGAGAAATAGTAAACTGTTTTGTTCTAAGTCCTGGGGTTTTAGGGTGGTTTTATGCAGTAATAGTTAGCCTTGTTAAGGGGATAGCACATAGGTTATACCCAATGCGTCACACTTGGCCTTATAGAGCTTCAGAATCAGATACAGATAGCAAGGGCTGTAGGCCTGTGAAAATTGCAAGCAAAATTTTCATTTTACTTGATAATTGCTTCTCTTTGGAGAGTCACTAGAGGAGGACTCCTTTATATCCCAGTGACAAGCAACTGAGGCCACACGTGACCATGGTCTGGTGGTGACGATCTGGGGGGAGACTGCTGGGATAGCCAGGAAGGGAAGGGAGAGGGCAGGAGCAGGTTCAGGTGCAGACAGGGACTCTTGGGCCTGTGACATTTTGATCTGAAGTTTCAGAATTTGACATTGTTGTTTCCAATAGGATGAAGGAAGTTCACATGGATATTTTTTTCTTATTCAGATGTGAATTCTTCAAATGGTGAAATACAAAACCTCCTGCTGTCTCTCTCAGCTTCTCTTCCATTTTCTGCTTCTCTTTCCTCTGTTCACACCATTCCTTTTCCTTTTTTAAGAGAAGAAACAAGAGAGATGTCCAAACCTGTTATTGTGCTTGTACTCTAGCCTCAAATTCAGATATTTGGTCTCTACCCAAAGTCAATATTTTGGGAGAGGTTTGAACTAAGTCATTCATGCAATATTGGGTTTCAAGTATGAAAAGTCCTCACAATTTTCCACTTAAAAAGAAATAAAAAGTCTGAAAACTATGTACCGAAGAGCTATCAAACGTTGGAAGCTGTCAACTTCAAACTTGGCAGGATGAAATGATCACCAAAGGAGAAAATTCAAGTCAAGTGTGAGTAACATAGCCAACGCTTGTGCCTTGTTAAAAGCACGTAGACCAGAGCTCAGGCAGGGCATGCAAGGGTGAGACCCTGTACTGCCCCTGACTTGGCACTGGGCAGGGGCCTCTTGCAGGCCCCTCTTGTTTGGATAACTGGGGTGATCTCATTGATCACCATGATCTCACTGGTCTCCGTGATTCAAATCTCTATCTTTTTAAAAATCACAAATCTGATCAGATCATTTTCCTGTTTACACATTTTCGGTGACTGCCCACTGCCCTTAGGGTAAATCAACACTCCTTGGCCGGCCTTAAGAGTTGACAGGCATGACCCAGCTATGATTCCTCCTCTGGCCACATCTCTGGCCACGCCTGAATTCACACCCATTTCCCGAGTCATGTCAAACTCCATGGTGTTCCAAGAATGTTCCTTGCTCTCCAGCCCAAGCCTTTGTACATGCTGTTCTTTCTCCTGGAGCTGCACCTCATTCCCAACTCTTGTTTGTCCACCAAGAATCAGCTCAGATGTCACCTCTTCCAGGAGGGACTAGGAATACCTCCTCTGAATTCCCACAGCATTTGGGAATTTGTCATGCTGTGTAATAATAATCATCAGTTTACATGTCTATCTCTGCCCCCAAACTGTGAACTCCCTAAGGGCAGTTACCATGCTGTATTTGATTTTTTAATTCTTAAAACCTCACACATAGCACCTGGCTTATAGAAGATGCTTGATAGACCATTATGAATTAAAAAATAAACAAATGGCTCTAAACCCCATCTACATTTTTGCATCATGGGAAGAAGCCAGAGGACTGTAGTGTATTTAGGGCTTTGAGGTGAGGCCCCCAGACTTGAGACCCTGAGACCTGAAGACAATTGTATATTCAAGTCGTAATTTTGCATAGAATTCACCCTCCCCTAAAAAATATACCTCCCATGACAACCTAAGTCCACAGCAACTCAACAAGACAGTGTTCTTGTTTTTATAAGTGTTGCTACACTGGACACCATTGTCACAGAGCTTTGGAATTTACTCATCTAATTAACAAAGATATTTTGAGCTTCCGCTGTGCCAGGCCCTGTACATATTTAAACATGAAGACAACATGACTTATTTTCCTCAAAGATCGTGTAACGTGGTGGGGACTTGGTAATGGAATTTGGTTTTGATTTGATGCTATTGTTGATGTTGAGATTTCTGCAAGTCTTTTTAGGGAGGGCTGCCTCACTCACCAGGAACTCAGCTGACCAACGTTAATTCTGCTCCAAAAAATGTTTAAAATTTTTTCCCATAAGAAAAAAAAGATACGTAAAGCTCAGCCAAGAGAATAAATGTGGATGAACTCCTCTTTGTGGGAACAAAACATATCTTAAAATAAATGATACATTAGCAAATAAATAAGAAGATACAGGATACAGACACTCACAAGTCAGGAAGTTCAAGCTGTGCTTGTGACGTACCTCAGGCACAAGGATGGAGCAGACTTTACTCCCTAGAGGCACGATCTGTCCCTAAAATTCTTGAGAATCATGGTGCAAATTCTGTGTTTGTGGGATACAGTGTTCTTGGGTGAGATGTTTAGTAAGGAAATGAAAGATGGGCCTGCTGTCTCCTAGGTCAAGGCATGGAACTGATTCTGGGAAAGATTCCAACATGTAGACAACATCTATAAATGAACCCATGCCAGTGCATCACAGGGATTTAGAATGGGTATCGCAGGACAGAATTTGACCTAGAGTCCTTGGGAGGAGAGCAGAGAAACATGCCTAAAACTCTCCTTTGAAGACTGTTCACTGAGTCAACTGTCCAAATCTGAAATATTCACTCAGTTCTGCATTTCTTCTGAAAGTTAAACTTCTGAGATCTAGAAATATTTTTAAAGGGAAGCTGAGCATAGTTATTTGCTTTTTTTTTTGAGACAGAGTCTCACTCTGTCGCCCTAGCTAGAGTGTAGTGGCAACATTGTAGCTCACAGCAACCTCAAACTCCTGGGCTCAAGCGATCCTCCTGCCTCAGCTTCCCAAGTAGCTGGGACTACAGGCATGCACCACCATGCCTGGCTCATTTTTCTACTTTTTGTAGAGACTAGGTCTTGCTGTTGCTCAGGCTGGTCTCAAACTGCTGAGCTCTAGTAATCCTCCCACCTTGGCTTTCCAGAGTGCTAGGATTACAGGTGTGAGCCACCACGCATGGTCTAGTTATTTGCTCTTTAATAATAATAATAATAATATGGTAAATTATTGGCTCTAATTCTTTCCCCTTCGTCTGTCCATACCCTCTGCTGTCTATATTAGCGCTTCCCTGACATAGACTTGAGTCTTGGCCAGTGGAAAGTGGGTAGAGGGTGATGGGATGGCAGATTTGAGCCTAGGTCTCATGCTGTTTGCCTCTCTTGCATCTCTCCCAAGAAGACCTTGTCCTGAGTAGCTGTCACTTCCTAGCAACAAGAACATGCATGGAGCAGACATAAGCCCCAAATCAGTGAGGGCCCAAGCCCAGTCATATTTTCAACTTGAAGCAGAGCCACCAAGCTGATGCCATCCTAGATCAGCAGAACCACAGCCAAACTTCAGATACACAAGCAAAGATTAATGATTGTTTTTGAAGTCACTAAGTTAGGTTGATTTGTTACACAGCAATAACTGACTGATATAAATAATAATAATAATAGTTTAACTTGCCTATAACTTGACCAAGGTCACTCAGCTAGTGATCAATGTAGACAGAATTCGAATCTGGCTTTAAATTCTATGCGCTGAATCACCTCTTTATATGACCTTGAGAAATGAACCTAGTTAATACTTTGGTGAGTTCTTTCTAGACAGAGGTTTTTTTTATCCTGGAGTGAAGAGAAGATGAGAGAACATGTTAATTTATTTCACATGGATTATAGGAAAGAGGAGACCTACAATCGTACCAGAATGGCTCACTTATAAGAAAATTCAGTCAGGGCCTCCAGATCCCACAGAGAAGGGACAAATATTAAAATTAAATAAAACAAGATTCAAGATTTTAAAAAGGGAGGCTGTAAAAAATAGGATGAACAGAAGACTGTCTGGCACTACTGCTACCACACGAGAATTTGCGCGACACTTACTAGCTTTGGGATCTTCTCCACGTGTCAGGTTTTCATCTGTGAAACAGGGATAATGAAAGTCACTGCTTCACTGGGGTTGTTGAGAGGATTAAATGAGTCGACACATGTCAAGTGCTGAGAAGAGTGCCTGGTACATCGCAAGCAGGGTCTACACGTTAGCTCAGTGGTGCCTCTAGAACAGTGCGCCGTCGTTGACATCCGCCTGGTATTTCTGATTTTTTAATTCTTGTGATGGTTTTGTGTTGTGTCAACTTAGCTGCTAGAACTGTTTCCCAGTGTTCCTCTCCCTGTCGTCTAGGTGAGGACTGCAGCATGAGGCATTGGCATGAGGCTGGGAAGGCGAAAGTGCAGCAGCAGCCGTCAGTCTCTGGAGGTCAGCGTCAGGCACACCGAGCTGCTGCGGGCCACGCTCCTCACCGACCTGCAGGCCCACCGTGTTGGCACAGGGCGGCAGCGGGGCCGCACCTCCCCACCCCTTCCACCCCTCCTCCTGTAGCTGCTCTGAGTCCTGGCCAGGTGCGTGTGTAGCTCCGTGATGACGGGCCCCAGTTTGCAGGTCACCTGTGTGGTTGAGACTGAGATGGGGGCGGGGGGCAGATATGGCTTATAGTGTGTCCTCATGGATTCCTGTTTGTCTTCAGAAATTTCCGTTATCCTTTTTCTTCCTAATTTCCTGCCCTGCCTTCCTTCCAGACTGCCAGGCCTGCTGACCTACAGCAACTTCAGGATTGACCCTCCAAATGCAGAGGTAACAGCCTGGCACAGACATCTTCTCCAGCTCCCACCGTTCCTCAAGGTCTAGCCCCTATCGCAAACCTGTGTTTCTATGGCTCTCATCTGGGTGACGCCTTCAGGATGGAACCGTGGCTGACAACCCCCCTCTCCCCCGCTGCCTTAGGAGTCAGCCATAAGAATCAACGAAGCCTCAGGGTTTTTAAAAAAATTTTTTGCATTTACCATAACTCTAAGCAGGTTGGGTCCTAACTCCCCCCCGCCTCCCTTCGTTTTCCCAGAACTTCTCTGTGGGAGGACTTTTAGGGACAGGAATTGTGTATTGACTGCTGAAATCCCCACAGAAAAAAATATCCAATTTCTAGCTTCAGTGTACTGATGGGTGGGGTTAACCACAGATTTGTCATCAGATTTTAAAGTCAAAGCAGTAGAATTTCTCTAAAAATAAAAGGAAAGAAAAAATTCTATTTACCTCAGTATTGCTATTTTCACAATCTCCCAGAACGAGTTGTACAGAGTCATACAAATGCTATGAAGACGGCTCCAAATGAAATACAGAATTCATAATAAGAGGATGTTGTCACTCAAAAGAAAGCGAGCCAGCGTGCTTCGGGATGGTGCCGCAGCAAAGAAAACAAGCTCGATGTTCGTGTCAGATAAACAATCGTAGTCACAGCCCTGGAAGTCTAGGAAGTGACTCATCTTCAGGAATGGGCACTGAGCGAAGGCAACTGTTTACCTCAGCCCTTTCGTGGTTGACACAAACATTCTTTTTCTCCCCTTGGGACTTGGCCACTTGGAGATGCTGTCACAGCCACGTGCAGCGGCGTCCCGGCTTCTACTACAGAGACATTCACCTCTCCTGACCCGTGATGCCTCCTGCTCTCTGCCCTCAGCCTCCTGATGTCCTTCGGGGTGGCCATTCTCTAAAATCGATAGATTTCCCGATAGGTGGGGAGAAAAACTTCAGCAAGCTTCCCCCTGCAAGAGGGGCCCATCGCTAGGAACTTTTGGTCTGAGATGCTATGGCTGAGTCCAGGGGGCAACGGAGAATAGACCAGTCCCAAGCCTAGCCAACTGGCAAAAGATGAGAGGGACTGAAAGGGAGTTCAGAGACCCTGGGGGAGGCAGGGGCAGAGCGAAGATCTGTGGGAGGGAGTGATGGCTGGGGTCAGGGCCACAGCGAGGCCAGGGGTGGAGGCAGGGAGGAGGATTCCAGCAGGAGAGGCGTGGGCTAGAGCTGCAGAGGGTCAGAGGGTGCCTTCGCAGCAGGGCTCTGGCTGGCTTGGCTACTGTCCTTCCCCCTCCGTCTGAGTGTGCTTCATTACCAGACCCGGGAGTTTCTACCGCCATGGCCATGGAAGGATGACCACGCAGGAAGCAGTGTGGCCATGGAGCCGTGTCATCCAGAGAAACGTGTGTCCTTACACCAGGCCACATGCTCACAGAGGCATTAGTCGTAACAGCTCCAAACGTGAAACTAATCAACCTACCTCAACTATAGAACGCATCAAGAAATGGCGGTATATTTATAAGCACACTGTGGCCAGTTTATGCAGTGGAATACTGTGTCAGTTTTCTAGGGCTGCCATAACAAATTACTACAAACTAGGTGGCTTAAAATAACAGAAATTTATTATTTCACAATTCAGGAGGCTGGAAGTCCAAGATCAAGTTGCCAGCAGGGTTGGTTTCTCCTGGAGGAGCAGAGGGAGGACTTGTTCTAGGCCTGTCCCCGAGCTTCCGGTGGTTGCCGGCAATCCTCGGCATTCCTGGCTGGTAGCGGCTGTCATTCCAGCTTCTGCCTCCGTCTTCACATGATATTCTCCCTGCTTTCCTCTGTGTCTTCACATGGCCATTTTATAAAGACACCAGTCGTTGGATTTAGGGCCTACCCTAATCTAGTATGACCTCATTTGAACTCATTTGACCTCATTTTAACTGATCATATATGCAAAGGTCCTATTTCCAAGTAAGGTCACATTCTGAGGTCTCGGATGGACATGAATTTTGGGGGACACTATTCACCTCAGTACAAATACTATACAACAGTGAAAATGAATGAACTACAGTTCCATGCAACAACATGGATGAAACTCAGAAACATAATATTTAGTAAAAGAAGGCACAAAAGAGAATGCACAAAACTGATATTACATTATAAAGTTCAAAGTCAGGAAAAACTAAACTACCGTGTTTAAGGATGCATGTTTTGGTGATATCTATGATATGTATTATGTTATAATGAAAAGCAAGTCACTGATTCCCATGAAAGTCGGGATATTGGTTACCTTGTGGAGAAAGAAGGGAAGGTTTCTGGGATGCAGGAATGTTCTCTTTTTGGATATGGCTGGAGGTTATAAGAGTGTTCATTTTTAATATTCCATGAACGGTTTTGCTTTCTGTATGCATGCTGTTTTCCACAGTCTAACAAGGTGGTGTCAGGAGACCTGCAGTTGCCGGTTCTGCCACCAGCGGTTGGGTCTGTGGGTCAGTTGCCTCTCTGGAGCTCAGTTTCCTCAGCTGTAAAGTGAGGATGCTGGAGACCATGCCAGGGCCCCTGCCAGGAATACCACTCTGGATTTATAACTCATTTGGTTCTCCAGCCATGTCTGTGAGGAGAAGAGAACTCCCAACTCCATGTTTACAAAGAAGGAAGCCCCTGAGAGAGGCTCTATGGCATTGTGGTTAGACTTTGAAACCAGAAGAACCTGGATTTGAGACTTATTAAGAGTTCTGCCCTTTGTCTTCAAACATTCTGGACAGATGACTTTAGCATTTGGGGCTGCGTTTCCTTAGGCACAAAATGGGCGTAATGAAAGAACCTTCCTTACAGGATTGATGAGAAGACAAAGGGTGATGCCTGGCTCAGCACCTGGTGTCCAGTCCGCCGTTGGCTACTGGCATCCAGCTAGCTGGACAAAAGCCAAACAAGTCCGATGAATTCAACCAATTGTTCTGGAATCCCTACTGTGTAGTCCAGTGTTTTCACAGAATAAAATATCCTCTAATCTTCACCTCAATTCTGTGGAATCTCTTATCCTTCTGCATTTTTGTAGATGATACCATTTAGGCTAAGAGGGAGGGAGCAAGTACTGTGATCAAAGCGGTTCTCTGGCCAGATTCCTCTGGCAGCAGTGGGGACAGATTGGAGGGAAGAGAGAAGGAGTGATGCGTGAGACCTGCCAGTGGGATGGTCCAGGCATGACACAGGGAGGCCAAAGGCAGGGGTCGTGACTCACAGTCACATTGGGCTCACTCACTGGGGAACTCAAGTCTCCTTAAATGTTTGCTGAGTGGACGGATGACTGCCTGGTGTCTTTGACAGAGACACTGTGGATGGAAGTTTCGATGGGGAGGAGCCACTGATGGCGAAGGGGTTTCCAGATCAGTCTGTCATGGGGGGAGCAATTCAAGAAGGGAGGAGGTTTGGAGGGAGGTGGGGTTGGGTAGACAGCCTCATCCTGGACATGCTGCTGGAAGTGAGGCGTCAGTGGGACACCCCTTGGAGAGTCTGGCAGGCCCGAGCAGGTGTGGGCTCAGGCCAGGTCTGGACTAAGCACGGAGAACTTGAAATCAAGTCCTCTGCTTCTCAGCCTGGGGTGGGTCTCACTTCACTCTCTCCTTACTGAAATCTTTCCTGGTAGTGGGGGTGACTTGGGAGTACAGAGACAACCCTCCTCTACCCTAATTTCTAACTGGGCTTGCACTTCCCACCAATGGGCCATTGTGGTTCATGGTCAGCGAAGCATCTGATCCACAACTGCTCTAGAACTGACTTTAGGAGTAGGTTGTCTAAATGGCAGAGCCCCAAATGTCTCAGTGCCTGAAATCCCACCACAAGTATTAACACTTATATTCTTTAGATCCAGCGTTTCTCTCCCATGGCCTGTTAAAAAATGCACATACCTGAGAGGATAAACAACACAGTTCTGTAACACTCTAGTCTGGCTATTTGTGGAACTGGTAGATGACAATTTTGCAGGTATCTATCCTTGAGTCAATAAGCACGAGAGCTGTTATTCTTTGGCTGAAGAAGGAGAGATGAGTTTCTTGGGAAGATTGGGAGGGCAGTTGGGGATGAACTAGAGAGAAGCCGGGTAATGTGAGTTGTAGGGCCTGGACTGGAGCCAGCCCCATGCTCCCTGTACCACTTGCCCTTGGAGGGAGAGATATGTAGGTTAGAGCATCTTGCTCCCTCCTCTCTGTCTCCTTGGGCCAGCACCCTCAAGGCAAGGAACGGCATATAGAGCCAAGATACGTACTTCCAGATGACGGACTGACTCTCCCTGCCCCCAGCTCCACCCCTGCGTGAGAGGGACAGGCCAGACGGCACACTCAATAGCGAGCTCGTCAGCCTCAGAACAACCATCCCATTGATCAAGGAGGCTGATTTCCTGCCAAACACTGGGAAGGCTTCAGTGTGCATTCTGGTCAATCCTGGCTGCGTTCTGGGCCAGCTGTTCTTGCTTGGGCCTTCCCTCTCTGCTTATTCGGTTCTGTAAATTTGGAGGGTGCCCATTCGAAACCTGGGCACCCACACCTGGGCAGGTTATTGGGCTGGGCTGGCTGAAGGGGTCCACTTTAAAGGTCATCCTTCATGGCCAGAAGGAAACTGAATAGGAAGTGGAGATCCAGCCCTGATGGAGGCTTTGGGACAGAAGACAGGGCTCACGTGGTTGGCCGCGCCCCCGTGCACCCTGCACACTTCTAGGCGCGTCGTTCTACTTGATGTCCAGAAATCTGCAAAGCATCTTTCAGGACTGTGCTCAGACACTTTGCAAGGGGGGGCGCGGGTAGTCTGTGGGAAGCTTCTTTGGCCTGTGTGTGTTCTTGGGGTTCGGCTGTGGGTGGGGCTGACGCTTCTCCCGACGCCACGGCCCCTTGCTTCTTGGCGTGGGGAGAGCTCCTTTGCCCAGCCCTGGCAGGGTGTGTTTTTCCATCCTCCTTGGTGTGAAGGTCTGGGGTTAGTTCTGTGTCACTCTGGATCTTGGTGAAACAACGCGCAAAGGGAAGATTGATGGAAAAACTTTCCTCCCAACTGCCAGGAAAATATTTCCTCCCTTTCAGCACGAAAACAGAGAGGCGTGTCAGCAGAGGGGTCTGAAGAGAAGGGGAAGTTAATGTCCCCTGCGTTCGCTCAGGTCCCTGCTCTGCCTTTTGAATAGGCCCCTGTCCTGGGAAGGACTTCATTTTTTTTTCTCTAAGGGTCTCTATTTGACCTAAAATGGATAAAATCTGTCAGGATCTGACCCCTGTTCAGTGCCCATGCTGTGCAGGCCCTGTGTAGGCTGTGGTTTTGGCACAGGCCCATCCGACCTGCAGGACAGCCCTGCAGTGGGGAGTCAACTGACCCCACTTTGCATATAAGAAAATTGAGGCTCAGGGCATTAATTTGCTTCCTCGAGGTCACGCAGTAACTAACTGACGGAGCTAGCATTCAGATCCAGGCCTATTTGCCGTGGATTCTTTCTACAATGCCACACGCTGTCAGGGTTTATAAGCCAGGATACTGAAACCACTTAACTGTGTGGCCTCATGGGTGACA